TGAATTCAGTTTCCATGATCTCGGAACTCCAAAGTTAACCTCCATTCCAATGACGCGTATGATCCGGACTGGTTTCTTTACTGAAGATATTTCGCAAACTGTACATCGAGTCGCTCGGACGCCCCAAATAGAACTGGCCTTAGCGCTGCTACTAAAGAAGCCGCTGGGTGGTCTCTTTCATGGCTGAACGTACAGATATGCACTATATGTTGCTTATATGCCCTACAGATATGGTCATGTAGCCCAAATATATACAGCACTCATAGCTCAATATTTTACGCTCACGTCCACTTTCCGGATGCTGGCGAAATGGGTTCCTCAGAGGCTCGCTTCAGTCTTGCCTTCCTGAACGTAACTCGGCGAAAAGGAACGACGTTCCCTTAAAATGCACGTGCTGTTTATTTCTTTCCATCCTTGAACTAAATTTTGTTACTTGGTTATCAAAAATTTGATTTGAGGATTTTTGCTCATTGGGCATAATTGTTTTTTTTTTATCGTAGAGGCGTTTTCTATGTGCTTCTACTAAAAAATTGTCCTTACAAAACAAGTTTGCGATAAGATGATCATAATATTTCCTTATGACCTGCTAAGTTTATGTTATGTTCCTTATGTGATCTGCTAAGTTTAGTCAGTTGGAAACTTATATTTCCTGTTGTTTCTGAAATATGGATACGAGAAATTCTTATTGATAATTCTAAATGATGACTTTTATTTTCATTCATATGGCATAACCTACAAAACATAAATTGTTCTCGCATGCCCCGTTTCAACATAAGAACAAGATAATGAAATGTGTTACATCTAACACCAGCTGGCGCACTGCGGCTGAGAAAGTTACTTAAATATCACTTGCGTTGTCCGTGGACTTTTTGTGGAAACGTCCATATACTGTCCATCGTGGCCAACACCGAATCTGTGTACATTTCTCGTCATTCATTCATTGAGACATTCAAATAAGTGTTGAGTTTTATGAGGTTTTCTTCCTTCTTAAGAAGACTTGCATATTAACGTCTGCTTCTTTTGTTATAACGTGCAGTGATCGAAAAAATCGTGATTTTAGTCTTAGTGTAAATGTATATACGTCGTTTAAGTACTTACTGAAGCTTTTCATACTATTGATATGACTGGGATATACATGATTGGTCTTCGCTGCATGCATTTAATTGGGCATCGATATTTATTCTCTTCCTATACTGACCTGGTAATGTTAAAGCTGTTATCCCGTTTCATGTTTCGTTGAAGGTGGAGTTTAACTCTGTTTATAGCAATCGGTAACAATTTGTTGGCGAATTGTTCTGAATTGTCTGAGTGTTTTATCTAGAATGTGATGTTTTTGCTCTCAATAATATTTACTTTACTGAGCACTAAGCAGTCGTTTCTGACCAATAATAATAATAATTATTATTGACCTAAAATAATAAGTAATAGCAGCTACGAACATTTGTCGAGACGTCGGAAACCTGTCCGCATTAAATAAATCCACATGCGCACCGAGTCAGTAACGACTGACTGACAACTTATTGGTTATCAAGCATAGAAAAAATCATTGCGAGACTGGCAAGTTTCACTTGAGAGATGAGTTATTATTTATCAGTAAGCAATGGAGTGCAAGCTGCGGGCAAGAAGGGAACATATAGCGCGGTGTACCCGCTTGCTCTGTCGGGTTCGGCCGCCGCCTCGCCCGGCAGATCGTCTCGAGTTTTGTGCCGAAGTTGCGAGAGCAATTTAAGTTTTATCGTGAGTTACTGCAGCTTCAGAGCGAGCCAAGAGTAAAAAATACAAAAAATATGAATGGATTGGTCAATAAGATAGACAAACCGGTTATTTTTGATGTAACCCCTATTTGTATGGCATATATTCAGTAAGTTTGACTCCCGTAATATTTGATTATGAACTATATTTCATTTGTGTAAAGCAACAGCTCAATGACATGGATTTATAAAATTAAGTACAAATTTTTTAAGAGAAATAGGTTTTGTTATAATTTATTGTCAACAATACGACGTTGAAGAGTGCATTCATAATAACTTGTTGCTATGTGATGAGGCTGCACGATGATAAGCAAGAAGATGAGCCTTGCATGGCATCATTATGTCGTCTACAAATAATAAACAACGATACAAATTTCGTAAAATAGGGTGTGATTGACGGTACGCATTTGCTATTGCATGCGGGCTCAGTCTTTTGATTTCATGCGGTCAAATGCTTAGCGTTTGAGTTCAGTGAATATATTATGAGTTTTAGTGAATATATTGTGTTCAGAAGCCTTATGTCCAGTGAATATATTGTGTTCAGAAGCCTTATGTCCAGTGAATATATTGTGTTCAGAAGCCTTATGTCCAGTGAATATATTGTGTTCAGAAGCCTAATGTTCACTGAATATATTGTGTTCAGGAGCCTAATGTTAAGTAAATATATTGCAATTGTTCAGGAACTTGATCAAAAAGGGAAAAATTCGTGTCCTAATTCGCACATACTCGTTTTCTGTAGAATTGTTAATTGACCTTGCTTATTATTATTGCATCAGATTTGTATTAGTACATTACAATAACCTCATTATAATATTTTCATGTAATAGATTATTGTTGATACGATGAGTGTATCAACATGCTCAGTATAGGGACTTGACCTCGTCGATTGGGTATAATTTATGTTTGAGCGAGTTTTTTGACTATATATAGTCGCAGTCGAAGAGTTTTTTAATAATGGGCATTAAATTATTTTTGTCACCAACCTGTGCAGCTTTTTTATGTAAAAAAATCTATGCAGGAATCACTCATTTTATGAAATTTTTAATTTCATGCTCATTAATTTGAAACTATAAAATTAAAATTGTTAATTTGAGTAAAATATCCAAACCCTTTAATTCAAATGACGCATGATTATGCCCTATAATGTATAATGATACAAATTTTAGTAATAGTATGCATGTTTCAAGCCCGTATATTTCATTGCTCGATTTTACTATGGCATTCATTCATAATATTTCAAGTCTTATTTTGCAAAAAATCTACGGAGATAGAGTAACCTTTACGACTTGATGAATTTCACAGCGGTTAAAATAAATTAATAATAGTCTTAATCACTAGTCAGTAGGTACAGTTATATTGAAAAGTGAATAGCCCCTACTTATTCATGTATTTACTTAATACTACATTATACGTTAGATTGAATATATTTTACAGCAAAAAACAGTTTCTGATATCATCAAAGTTATACATAAGATCATTTAAATTGATAAATACTTTTATTTTTACGAAATGTATTGTCTGTGTTTATTGTTGCTACGTGTTAAACACATTCTTAGATCAGATTGTGATATTGAATTGAAAGCACTGAATTTTTAAAATCTTTTTCTTCATATACGATGCATTTTAATCAAGGGATATCCGTCCGCAGCCGCATAGAATTTAGTCGTAAGAATGTTTTCTAATGTAGGATGAAGGAAGTTCTATGATTTTCGACTTAAGCCTAGATTTTTGAAGATTCCCTTGTCTTGGGAATATGTTAATTTCCATGCGTGTTCGATTGAAATTAACCTTCAACTGCATGAGCAACTGAAGTCAATCAAGCAAAAACGATTTCGTTGTCGAATGTTTATCGCGGTTTGTTCCTTAATATTTAATATTGCATGTTAATTCGTGTGGTTTAGCAGCTAGCCAGGGGTCGGCAAAGTAGTCGATATCGACCCCTGGGGGTCGAAGACCGACATCAATTGGGGTCGATAAATTTGTGGGGTTTTAAAAGTGGTCAGTAAGCAAGAAAATATGTATAAAGATTTCTTGTATGAATGAAATTGAACGTCATGAGTGAATAATTGCTTACAATGCCGTATATATGTTAAGGCATTTATTTTATTTTTTCACTGGTTTGTAAGCGTGGACATATATGGTACGAAATAGGTACAATATAATCCTATATGAAAGAGGTCGTCGCGAGCGAAAAAGGGGAAATTTGGAATCGTTTTATCCTAATCAATGATCAGATTCACGGCAAATTCTATTTTAATTGAGAGTTTTCACGTTTATTGGGACGTGATCAATCAGTGTCTAGTTTTCTATTCGATTGCTATGATTTATTTTTGGCTTCTCAATCCAGTTTATCTTGAAATTTAGCTATGGATCTGAGTATTGAATTCAACACCTGAAAGTATATCTTGTAATATAAAAAATTAGCTATTCCACATCAAAAAGAAGAAATTGTTACCAATTATATTAAAAAAAACATTCTGCGAATTGAACTTTTTCAAGTTTCTGGATTTTGCCTGGCAAGTAATGTCTGCACACACAGTTGTGATGAACTGTGAGCTTTATTAGCTTTCGGATCATTTTTTAGTACTCCAGATTTTTTATATCAAATTACCGCACTATTCAATACGTCGGGGTCGCTGGGAAGTATATAGTATATAATGCTGTATTATTAAGCGATTATTAATCATTTATCTTGCTCTGTATATAAATTCTGATTGCAAAATTGTGGCGTACCTATGTTTCATACATTTTGTTACAAAGAATTGTCAGAAAAAAATGCGTTGAAATGAAGTTAAAAAAATAGTTAATTAAATTCAGATGATCATGAAAAGTCTACCTGAAATAATAATTGAACTTGGTATAAATGTAAAAAGTTGACGTGGGTTGGCGCGGGAATCGCAAGAACACGCCCTTGTATCACGGTGTGGCTTGTCTACCTGCTGCTCACCTGCTTTACCTAACAATTGTTGTGTAAAAGGCAAAAGGCAGAATTAAAACTCCCCGACGAAGGGCACTGCTCCGTAGACTTGCCACCAGAGCTGGCAACAGCGCTGAGAAGGCGGGATGTAAGCGCGATGGGCGGGATGCGCAACATCGAGGAGGAACCTGGGAATCCTGGCGGTGGGGTTTATCACAGCGGGTCGGCCTTAGGAATTGTGGTCCTGGGAATAATTGGGAGGTTTATCTTGCGCTAGGAGGAGCCGTGCGCAGTACCGCCTCGACCGTGACAGCTCATTCATTTGAGGCGGCTGCTCTGGTGATTGACAGCAGTTGGGGTCCAGTGACAGGCAGATACGCATGCTGCGCTCAGTCTCAGTTCTTCATGACGTGTTGTTGACGTGCGCTACCCTTCTCCGTTGCGACGCGAGTGTCACGTGTTAGTTCTTCCTGTCCCGTAGCATCAACATGAATAGTTAAACTTTACTACTCGAATTCTATGCTGCGATATCAGTTCGCGGTGTCTGGGCGCGCTCTATAGTAGTCTTGTTTTGTGTGTTCCAAACTAGTGGGACTGTCGAGTAGTAGTGCTGACTAGGTGAGCTGTGAGTGGTGCTAATGTGTAATGGCTGATTCAAGCCGGGTAAGTGTCAGATAATCTCGCAACTAACCTGTTCATTTTACTCCGGCAGTGTTCCGTTCATCCAATAGATTAATTCGGTGCATCTTAGTCAGTGTTTATCAGCCAAAATTAAATAAAATTTGTGCCAAAAATTCAAATTCCCACCCATGATCTGGAACGAGCCGAAAATATAAATAGTGTCATTATAATATTGTCACACGTGTATCGTTTGAAAAAGTTTAAGATTGGTGCTAATTTGTGTAAGTACACACTTGAAGCGGTCGAGTAATCCAAGTGTGTAATTTGTGCGTGTTGTGTGCCCACTCAGCTCGATAACTACATGGCTGGTATGGAAGCCATGTACGACCACAGGAGCAGCGCTGCTCTGCAGCCCGCTGCACTCATGACACACATGAACCATGCTTCACATAACCCGGCCATGTATGCACCACACTCACAACCACAGTCCAACCCTTCTAATCATGTTATGGGCTCCGTACCAGATGTTCACAAGCGCGATAAGGACTTAATATATGGGTGAGTAGCTAGGTCTTATTTTTTCAAATGACTGAAATTCTGTGTAGTCACTCGTCTGATAGTTTCTTCTTATGCTTGTATTCGCATTCCCTTAGGTTCTATCTGCGAATTCTGAATTTTTGAAGGCATGTTATGATGCGAATGTCTTCACTCTCTGAGGAGCAAATAATTGATGCATAACATTCAAGGAGCGCCAGACCGCTGTTTTTTTTTGTTTTTTTGTTTTTTTTTTGCTGTGCTATTTGGGAGCGACTTGTAGCCGCGTTACCAATCTCGCTTTTACTCCGCTCAAGCCTTGGACAACTAATTTTATACAATCCTTACCAAGACCATTAATAAGACCGTCGTGACTTCTATTATTGAATGGTCTAATTAATTGGTGTGTTGAGATGAATTCAATGACGTGAGGAGTTTTGTTTAAAGTTATCGTTGTTGGTTTTCATTTTTAGATTGAATATATATATTATATTCAATCATTATATTCAATCAATATATATTATATTCAATTATATGATTAAAGGTTATGTAGACAAATTTCCTCGTTTGTTTTTGTTTCAACGATAAATGTTGAAAGTTCAACTTCGAATAGTTAAGAAATTTATACAAGAAAATACCATTAATTGCCTGAAATGCATTTTGATGGTTTGCTTGAATGTGTCTAGGTTACTTTCAATTACGTACGTTACTTGTTTTACCTTATTCTGCTGTAGTACAATATCGGAATCAATTAAATTGTTCCATATTTTTACATCAATGTGGTGTTATATAAAGATTCAGATAATTTCTTATACTTAAATATTGGTAGAAATAAGATTTTGCTAGATTAATTTCATTCCCTAGAAATGCAAAAAAAGTTCCCATTCCCTATAGGCAAAAGTTTTATTATTCTGTCACAGCGTAGCTCCGCATTTTCTTTTATTGTTAATTTTTTTTTCGTTTTAACACTTTATTTCAATTATTAGTGCAATTAAGCATCTCATAATTGAAAAATGTGTTTAGCCATCTATTTTAAAATTTAATTTTCTACTGGCTTTCCCAACCTCTCATCTGTGTGTATCATATTCAATCATTCCTAGTTCTCAGAGTTTAATATATTGAACACCTTTTCAAATGTTATTTGATAGCAGGAAAAATCTTCTTTGATGTAGGTACTGGAAAACTTGGGAGCCCGTAATTAATATTTTACTAGGAAAATCGAAGAAAATGTAATTTTGAGACCTCAATGTTGCACATAAAATAATTGAACATTTCTTTACCGCTCTCTTTATTTTATGCCGTTTCATTATTGTGAGGACCGTGCTTTAGAAATAACTTATACTGCTATTCATTTAATTTTTTTTAGTTCCGTCGCTTCACCTGGAGACTTTTAATGCCGTGTTCTTATTTAACAATTATTTAAGTGTCCTGAAGTGACACTTAAATAATTGTTAAATAAGAACACGGCATTAAAAGTCTCCAGGTGAAGCGACGGAACTAAAAAAAATTTCAAATGAATAGCAGTTTAAGTTATTTCTAAAGCACGGTCCCCACAAATGAAACGGCATAAAATAAAGAGAGTGGTAAAGAAAATGTTTAATTATTTATGTGCAACATAGAGGTCTCAAAATTACATTTTTTTCGATTGTCCTAGTAAAATATTAATTACGGGCTCCCAAGTTTTCCAGTACATCAACGAATATTTTTCCTGCTATGCATGAAACACTTTGCTTATAAGGAAATGGATTGATTATTGAGATGTAAATTGCAGTACCTGGTACACGACTACTGCAATGTGAGTTGTGCATTTGAGGTGAAGGGTTATATCAGGGAAATAAAAGAATATTCATCTTCTTGTGCACTATGTAGAACTTACATCCAAGTTAATGGATAATTACTCAAATTGGGCTATATATATTATAATTGGTCATTCATTCTAGTTTTTTTCCTTCATAAGTGTCATCAAGACGCTCGTATAATCAAGTAATCAAATAAAGTTATTTATTCGCATTAGTAATTATGTCATTAGTTACGTTGCTTCATGCTAAATTATTTATTTAATTTATTTGAATTCTTCAAATTTATTCACTTTCAAGTAATCAATTTGATCCTAAATTAATTTTTTTTTCTTTATTCTTAACGTGTTTGTTCAAATGATAAGCACATTTTTTTGTCATCACCTATAATTTCGCTCCCAGTTCTAATATACGTGAATATTTTCCTCGTTGTTTCAAACCAGCCATCAGCGTCAAGTTGGCAGATTGATAAGATTCAATAAATTAATAATCTTGTTAGTGTGCGTACGATGACCGCTCCTTACCTTGTGTCAAGCTTCAAATTAAAGGTTGTTCTAGGCCTCTTACGCATGCTTCTAATGTGATCCATTGAGAATTCATGACAGCGTCAAGAGCATGAAAGGCACCCAAAAATTTTCGTGGTGAATGTCATTGATTTGCCTTAGCCTGTGATGGATGGCGTATGAGGCAGCGGTGCTCCATCAAGCGCAGCGGCATCAAGGAGCTGTCTCTTATACACATCTAGATGTGTATAAGAGACAGTACTAATCCCGTGTGCGTTCTGCGTTTGTCCCTTATATTTCGCGGTGCTTTTCTTGACAATATTTGATACTTTACTTTACTAATGCGTTCGTCGTACTGATCCGTGTGCGTTCTGCGTTTGTCCCTTTTATTTTGCGGTGCTTTTCTTGACAATATTTGATACTTTACTTTACTAATACGTTCGTCATGCTGATCCCGTGTGCGTTCTGCGTTTGTCCCTTATATTCCGCGGTGCTTTTCTTGACAATATTTGACACTAATACGTGCATCGTATGAGGGGTCTGTTTACGCTGCAATCCAACAACATTTATGTTACAAGTGTAACCATTACTGTCGCATCATGAAACGACGAGGTAAATAGTAAAAATATATTCTGTTTGCCAATTCAGCATTCATTTTGGTTTAAATGAAGCAGTGGAAATACAAATTACTGAATTATTCAAGTTCATGACTACAGTTAGTTTATTGTAGTTTTTGGTATTTTTGTTATAAATGCCTTGATTTTCACGTGCAATATCAAGTTCAATTATTCTCTAATTTTGATCTTGTAAACGAATAGATAGCTACGTATTATGTTGATTGATTGTTTTATCAGGCACTTCTTATAGTTTTGCAGATTCAACAGCAGCTTCAAATAATAGTTATGTAATCTATAGTTTGTGTTCTTTTTTTGGAAGTTAAGTTGACGGTTCCCTTGCATATATTTATTCTATATGATCAGGGTAAATAAATACCTGCAATACATTTACTCTATTACTCTTTACTCTATATGATCAGACCCAAGAGAGCTATACGTCTTATGCGTTGTATGTGGTATGCTTTTAATTTTAATTTTTCAATTAGAAATTTTAATTAAAATTTTAATTAATTTTTAAATTAATTTTTTATGCTTTTAATTTTAATACTCAAAAGGAGTAATTCGCATCTTAATTGATGTGAGGAGTAGTAATAACAGTATAACTGGTAGCTGTTTCAGTGGTTACAGAAGTTAGAGTATATATAGCGCAATGAATGTAGCAATGAATGAGTATACTGACTGCAGCCGACGATACCGCAGGTCGAGAACCGCTCGATATGTAGGAAGCATGAGTGCGTGCTACAGCGTGTGTGATTCCACAATTTAACGACAAGAGCCCTGCAGCTTCGATCAAAAAAGTTCCTTTAAAACAAGACAGGCTACAAATTTTCATACTCTATAATTACCTTGTTTTTAGGGCGTCAATATATTTTGCTAATTTCCTCTCCATGTAGTGTAGGGAGGAAGTGTGTGTGGAGTGAAAGGCTTTAGAGGACACGGTTATGTGTCTCCGCCTTCGCGCTCCAGGCTCTCCTTCGAGCTTCGTACAAATATCCTTGATATTACTTAACGCCTTTCGTTAACTAATATTGTTATCGTAAAGTATTCGTGCAGTAATGTCGTTATAACTATGCTATTCAAATAGTCAAATATTACAAAATTTTTAAGTCAAACCCATCATCCTCGTTGAAACATTTTTTTAATGCTGAAGTCTGTAGTACTCGTTGGTTCTTGAGTAAAAGAGTTCTATATTTAGTCGTCTTAATATCTCGTTTAGTGTTCATTAATCTTAGTAATTATACCAGTTATTCCTCGAAACATTTAATGACTTGGGGCTGATTGCATGGTTTCAAGAATAACTTGTTATTATTAAAATGCAACAGCTGCATTTGTTAAAATCTATAGATATGCACTAATGCGGTGTATCGCTATTATGTCGACAATATTAGAAGGTAGTGCTATAGTCACTCACGAGAAGCTTAGAAGTAAATTTCTTGCTCTCGTAAGAGCACTATGCTTTGATAACAAATGCAGAAATGTTCTGTACCTTATTAGGCATTTATTCAATGTGGATACATGCATGGTGCTTGTCGTGCTTTCTGCATCAAGATTTTCTTTTGCTGCTACTCTCACTTGAGGCGCGAGTTAAACTCGTGAGGTATCGTATTTTTATGAAGATTAGATTCTTGACTACAGATCACCAGCTGACGAATTTATGTTGACTCTTTACTCAACATGGGTACTAATGTTATTTCAAATCCACGCGTATAGTCTTTTCAGTGTACTTTTTATAAAGTACCGTAGATTAGATAAATCGAAGTTTGAAAATCCAAGGAAAATTGCATAATAGGCAGCATTCTATATAGAAGAGAATAAGAATTTTGTATATGTACAACTGTACATTATACCACACATTATTTTTACTGGGCCTCTAACGCTAAAAATAACTTGAGTCATTACTATGAAAGGAACCAATATGTTTGTAAGACTCTCTTCGGGTTTAACGTTCTGTTCATTTGGCACGATGTAATATTCATTATTAAATAAAATGTACTGTTTAGAAAATGTATAAACATTTTTGTTAGTCCCAGCTTGATTAAGATGCTTAAATTCTATTTTCGGTACGAGATATTTTTTTCTGAGGCGTTTGCATACATTGTGTCCCCCAT